TACCGATTTTTGAAACCATAATATGTCGCAAATTCACGGCAGTTTTTGCTACAGTCAAAAATATTTACGTCGGAGTGCAGTAGGGAATTGTTAAAATTACATTCGGAATAATAACAAAATCACTTTTTGACGTGAAATCATGTATCACCTTCTGCCGCGCGGTTAACTCCTAAATGTAGAGCATCGAAACTTACTGTCATTTCCGCAAGCACAAAAATAACTCAAGCACTGAACCAATTATAATTGTTATTACTCACATTCGCGTCTGGGACTCGTCATGTCATGACGTAAAACGTCGCGGACGAGCGCTGCTCCCGTCCCGTCGACGCAGGGAAAGTTGTCCGCATCTTCTCTATCTTCCACCCATCACCGAACACGGCGGCGGCGGGGGGCGGCGTCCGAGGCGTCCATCCCCCTTTGCACAGGTAGCGGGCGGGCGCGGGCGGTGAGCAAGAGAGAGAGAGGGAGAGAGAGACGTTGGACGCTCGCAGATATCGTGGACACGGCCTCCGGGTCTACTTTGCCGATTCATCGGCCAATAATCGGGCGATCGCGCGCAGCGGCGGCGCCGTCTCCAGCAGACGAGCGTGGCGGGGTGGGGCGGGGCGGGCTGAGCCGGGGTAGCGTGAAACAATTGAGTGGCGTGGTAATGACTCTGGATGTGCCCGCCCCGCCCCCGCCTCCGCCCCGCCACGCTCTGAGCGGCCAAGGAGGAGGAAGAGCGGCAGGTGGGCTGAATATTAGAAATAATCAAGTCCTGTACGTTCTAGAGCACAGAACGTAGGGCGTGTAAGTGGCAAAAAAGGTGGCACATTTCGAGTCGTGCACGAACACCTACCAAAGTCTCTTTGTCACTCACTCACTCACTCACTCACTCACTCACTCACTCACTCACTCACTCACTCACTCACTCACTCACTCACTCACTCACTCACTCGCTATCTTGCTCGCTCCGGGTGCCCTATCTCGCCACGGTATTTATTGGGAACCGATCATGGCTGCCGTGGGTTTCGCTCTCTTCCGGAATATAAGGCATCCAGCAGCAGCCGCGCTCCAGAGAAAGCACGCGGGGGGTTATAACAACAATAATGGGCCGGGAACGCCCCCCGCGGGGCCCACCACGCCCTGCCACGCCCCGCCACGCCCCGCCACGCCCCGCCACGCCCCACCCGGCTGGGCGTGGCACGCGGTGGCCGCGGTGTGCGCGAGTTTGTTTGTTTAGCGGACAAAAGCGGCCACCAATACCGGGCGGTGGTGGTGCGGCGCGCGGTGCGGCCGCGGCAGGCTCGTCGTGTCGCCCCCTAACGAACGCATTATGGACGGTGACCAGAGGGTGGGTGGGTGAGAGTCGGCCGCTGAGTTTGATGGATGGCCAACTGTGCGGAAGGATGGCGCAACGGAAACCGCAGCTTTGCCCTATGCACACACACACACACACACACACACACCAAAAAAGAGTTGTTCCGTACTTCGTTCCGTGTATATTTTCTACTAGAAATTCATAAAAATGTTTACAAAGATGATTTTTGAAATTTTCTTTTCTTAAGGTAGGGTGATATCAAATTTGAAAACCTCGTCGTTTGATTTGCTTTTTATGCTCGACACACGGCAATAATTTAAGCCCGCCTTTCATGGCCGGTGCAGATAAATGCGACATATAAGACGCATGACGGTGAGACGCGCGTGAGGCCGATTTATGTCGCGGTTTGGCGGCCCATGGGGGGCGGCGGCTCATGAGCAGCGCGTTCATGAGCCAGAGCAGAGGTTGGTGAAAGCCCCGCGACGGGCGGGCCTCGCTCATGGCATTCGTCAGCGCATGACGTGTTTGCGAACACACCCCGCGCTCTGTCACCGCCGCAGTGTCCTCCATCGGAATGGGAACGCACAGCAGTAGACCACGCCGGGCGCCCAGCCGGGTGGGTGCTCAGCTCACTGCTCGCTCGTGCCCGTGGCTTAATGCCGTATACACCGTGTATTAATTGGAGTTGGCCCAACAAAAACTAAAAGAGTGGAATTTCAAAGATTCAATAAGTTTTCACCAAATGCGTATGGTTTGCCTGTTGACTCGGGGTCCTTGTAGTGTGAGATGTGAGGCATGCCAGCAGCGAACAGGTGGCCGAATGTTTAACATGACAAAAAGTACAACAAATCATAAGTTACTTCTATCGCAGCCACTGCTGCTGGTCCTAGTCCGGCAGATGTGAGACGAGTGGCTTGCCTGCTCATGAGCACTCGCCCGCACACGCTCACGAAGAGTCGTGGCTAAGTAACTGTAGGCAAAGCGCGCCGAAAATTAGGACATACCGCGCAATTACCCGGACAACGATTCGGACAATCCACAATTAAATCCTCTAGCCTAGTCTCTCCTTTATACGCCCGGCGACACCCACCCAGGCCGGGGCGGAGCCTTACTTTCTTCCGCGCGCCTTCCAAGGGCGCTGCTGCTACCGCTATGCCCTTACGCGGAATTTAGTCATTCCCGTTTGTGTGTTTGTTGTGTTTTTTAGATTTAATTTTCTACGTTGGCCGCGGTGGTGAAAATATATTTAAAAACACGACAGGCGTCGCGCGGTCCTCTTTTCTGACCGCGGCGTCGAGCGGCGCGGCACAACGTCGTCGCGTCTCCGTCAAGAATGGAACGGCGGCCCCTTCGCCGCGCGCCGCGCCCTTCTCCAGCGGAACGGTCTGTGGTCTGTGCGGCGCCCGCGGAGCCCGCCGAGCCGTACGTACACAACACAACACTCCCCGGGCCGGGCCGGGGCCGGGCCGGGGCCGGGCCTACCCGCCGCGACGCCCGCCGCTGCGGTCGCCGACCAAAGGGTCTATTTATTTTATACGCGCGGCTCTCGCGACGCGCGGGGCTGCGCGACGGACGGCCGGTCTCTTCTCTGGCGAGCTTGGCGCGATGGACGGACGGACGGGGGTACGAGAAGTGAAGTAAATTGGTTTCACACTCTATTGTCGCCGCCGCCGTGGGGTTCTGCTGTCGGCCGCGCGCCGCCGCGGAGAAAAGAGACCACTCTGCACTGCTGCACCGCGTCTTTTCGCGGACTGGTTTGTCGGTTATTCCCGCGCTGTTGAAATTTCATCAGTGAAACGAAACGTGTTAAGTCAATTTTTTGTTACTATAACAACATTCCGTGTTTAAAATATGCTGATGGTTTTAAATCACAACCGTGCTGAAATGTATATGCAAGCTCCAAAGTTTTTCATGTCGGTGTGACATTTCTAAGTTTTTATTTGGAATTTTAAACATGCGTCCTTTTTTCTCCGATGTATTCAGGCGTCCAGACAGAAAGTGTGTCCCTTTTTTCTCCGATGTATTCAGTAAATTACGGGAGCTTGGCGCCCGCGAGACTCGGGGTAGGCCACTCCGCCGTACACATATGCACTGCAGTCACGATGTTGCCTACCCATCAGGTGCCATGAGAGATCGCAGATACGAGCGTGTCCAAAAGGTGGACTTTGACACCTTGTCACTTTGGTCGACCAGTTGACCAGTTTATTCTTCTCAGAATTGACACTTTCCAAAAGTCGACAAGCCGTTGCTTTCGCGCGCGCAGAGTAAATATGATGGCAGTATTACCCAAAAGGGCGGGGTCGCATCTGCCAGGCGGCGGGCGAAGCGTGAGCGGCGCTGTTTGATTCTGCTTCGGGTTAACGACTGGCCAGAGTGGCGGGGCCCGCCTGCCATAGGCACTGCCAGGGCGTGCCGCCGCCGCCACCACTGCTGCTGCTGCTGCTTGTAATTTCGTACCTAAGTTGCGCTTCAATTTGTTGTTATTATTTTTACCGGTCCGGAGTAGTAGGGGCCGATTAGAGTGGCCTGGACAATAACCCGCACCACCATCCCTACTACCTCGGCCAGCTGTCGCGCTGGCGCCTCGGTCGGCACGACGGCCGCACGGCGGAGTCCTGCAAACACGACAGCAGCAGCAGCTGACAACGCCATCAAGTTGTGAGACAGAGGCCTGGGGATTGGATGTCGAACGGGGAGGAAGCCTTTATGTTTGTTGGTTTTGGTCGGTAAATCCCTGCGGCGGCGGCATAGACTCTTCGAGGCCGCTTTATCTCTTGCTGCTAGGCAGGTGCCGCGTCTCCGCAGGTGGGCAGCTGCCTGGCGCAGCTGATCACCCGGTGTGACAGGTGCGGGCGGTCCTCGCAGGGGGGGTCTCCTCCGCGCCGCGTCGCGCGGCTCGCTCGCCCGGAACAACAAGGATTCACTCATTTCCAAGCGACGAGTTCGTTCACTCGGCTCTGTGCTGCTGACGCAATCGCTTCTGACGGCGGCGGCGGTGGTGGTCGCCTCTGCTGTCCTGTCGGATACCTGACCGTCCGCTGCGCGCGCCTTGCACCTGCAGATGCGCTGTGATCTTTTGCGACGAGGAAGTCCTCCTGCATGCGCTATCGCCGCAGCTGTCGATGAACAAGCTCGTTATTACCATCGCCGTGCCGCAGAACGAACGTTGTGTGGCGCACCGCAGCAGGTCGAGGGAGCGAGTGATCCATCACTGGGCTGCCATAACGCACCTCGATACCTGCGGAGGAGGTGTGAAGCGAGTGGCGCGGCGGCGTCGTGTGGTGACGATCTCGTCCTCTTATTCACCTCTCTCGTCTCTCTCTCTCTCTCTCGGTCCGCATGGCTGTCGGGTCAGACCGGCCCGGCCTCCCTCCGCTGTGACCCCCGCCGTGTCGAACAGTGCGGGTGGTCCCGCGCGGCTGTCTTCCTGCCAAGGTGTGCTGCTGTGGCGTGGCGTGGCGCGGCGGCGCCTGGGCGGGAGTCGTCTAGTTGTCCCCTAATTGCAGTCAAGCAGGCGCTTGTTGAGGGCGGCGGCGGCCTGCCGTGCTCTGCTCTGCCGCGCGCTCTGATGCTGCGCGGCTGGACCGAACGGACCGCGTTGGCGGCGGCAGCAGGGGACACGAGAAAAGAGTAATGACTCTCAATTTTTCATCTTCCGGAAAATAATTCTAATACTTGCTGTTTGCTTTTTTTGTTGCAGCGGACAGCCGGTGCTTCCTGGAGAGCGGTTCGTCTGCGGAGAGCTTCTTTGTCAGCGAGGACCTTCCCGTTGGCTCCGTCATTGGTAAGCTAACCCGCCCTCTAGTTCCTGAGTTATTTTACTCAAAATGAGAGTTAACACTAGAACCGCGGCAGGGGTCATTTTGACCCTTTTCGATTTTCAATTTATAATTTCTATATGTAATTTTTTTCTCGTCGGGTTAAATATTTTTGACATCGTGTAAAATGATGACAAATATATCGACACGAAATCCTGAAGCTGTACGACTATTTTTGTGGAAGTTATGAAACAGATATACCTAGGACCGCGGCAGGGAGGTCAAAATGACCCCTGCCGCGTTTCGCGTTGAAAATGCTGTTTTATCGAGATAAATAACACCTCAGAGCATACAGAATAGTTATCGCAAAAATCATTTAACGTACACATACTTGTTTCCAAGACCATTTACAGTGATAATTACTCAAAAAATTTCACATTTACGCGCAAAATGCGGCAGGGGTCAAAATGACCCCTTCCGCGGTTCTAGATATACGAAAATGTCAGCGGTTCTAGTGTTAAAGGAAATGTATGCAGCGCTTAAAGCGGTATAAAAGGAAACATCTGCCAAAGTATCGTGTGACGTTGTGCGCTTGGCGGCCAACGGCATTGCTCAGGAGCTCGGCGCCTGCGAGACTCGGGGTAGGCCGCCCCGCAGTACGCGCGTGCACTGAATGCAAGATGTGGCCTACCCATCAGGCGCCATGAGAGCTCGCATATGAGGGCAGAACATGGCAGTTTCGTAACGGCGAATGACGGCCGCACTTTCTGGATGATCCCCTCTGGCGCCCAGCACTTGCACATGCTGCTGAGGTAGGGTTCCGTGTGACGTTGCTCGCCGGCGCCGTTTACGGCGTCCAGCACTTGCATTTTTCTCCTCCCCCGGGGCCCTTTCGGTTTCGTACGCGACTGGACAGGACGAGTCCTGCGGCCCCCGCGTGCGTGCTGGGAGCCGGAGCCGAGCGAGAGTCCTGCCGAGCCGAGCCGGCAGAGACTCGCCGGGCGCGCAGCGCACAGCGTGCAGCCGTCGCGCCGAGCCGAGCCGGCCGCCGCCGCCAGGCCACCAGAGGCGCGGTGATGTGAACTTGACCGCCGCGCCGCGGAGCGTCCTCCTACCTCCCACACCCCGGCAGCGCCGCCACCGCCACTCCTCCTGCTGCTGCTCCTCCTGCTGCTGCTGCTCCTTTTGCTCCTGTTGCTGCTGCTGCTCTTCCTTCTGCCGTCCCTGCTCCTGCTGCTGCCGCTGGATTTGCATTTGATGAATACCGGCGGGACGAGCAGTGGACAAGTCTGTTCCCATAAGCAGGGTGCAAGCACCTCGCGGTCCCACGTCCAGTCACCACCACTTCCCTTTCAGTTCGCCCGCCGCCGCCCGCCGCCGCCCGGCCCGCTCTGGCCCGGACTCAGCCGCTTGGCTAGCCCTGCAGTGCAGTGGCAAATGGGTTTTCCATTTCTAATATATACGCCCCATCATCTCTTTGAGCACCGTTAAGAATTCGTTGGGATTTCCCGAAAATTTTACTCTCAACCACATCCGGAAATTTCCAGAGGACTTCGTTTTCCAGGTTTCAAGTGGTTTTTGTTGAGATCAAAGCTTCATTTTAAAAAGTCATGATCAACCTAAGCGCAATTCAGACTTCACTTCAGTTTGGTACTTTAAACTATCAACATTGTTACACAGTTGAGTTTGCACGTCAGTCATCTGCGTCGCTGCACTCGCTGAAAGGCCCGTCCATCCTCCTCAAACTCGTTCTCTCTTTTAATTGTCGGCTGATTTCATTAGGAGGCTTCTTCAGCCCGCGGGGCGGCGGCGGGGTGCTGCTGTTGCCGAGGAGGCGGCATGTTGTGTTATGGCGTTCCGTGGGAAAAAGCGAATCTTTTCTCCTCAGGCCGTGCTTTAGCGAGGGTCATTGCATCTCAAACAAAAAGTTCAAAAGTGAATATACACTGTCAGGGGGGTATTTCAGGTTACGGAAGGCGCGCCAAAAAAAACTGGAACGCCAGCCTAAAGATCCAGTCGTTACAAAGTATATGGAAAACCATACAATCGAGATGTCTAGGGCTCGTTCTCTAGAGACGATAATTAACTAGCACCGCGGACTTCTTTGTGCAAAACTGAGTTGAGTTACAGTTCTGTAACTAGCTGCACACATAAGTCTGGCGCTAGTTACAATTCACTGTAAAATTCCTTTGTCACGATGACGGAAATACTATGTCTAATTTTTTAGTACAGGGGTGTCGTCATGAGTTTTTTCCTTCGCATGACAAGAAAACCCTAATCATGTGACGATAAAACCCATGACGACACCCCTGTACTAAAACTTACCCATGGTATTGTCGTCATCGTGACAACGAATTTTTACAGTGTTATTGTCCCCCTGAGTGCATTACAGATTCAATATTGTACACATTCAGAGAGCAATAAACAATCGTGTAAAATTCTTTTAAAATTGTAATTATATTGAACATTCGGGATTTTTATTGCCTATCGGGCGCCTTAGCCCCGCCCGTGAGGGGGGGGGGGGGGCTGCAATTAGCGCACTGGATTACACCTCGCGCATGCACCGGCCTGCACTGCCTGCACTGCATATGCTGCTGCTGCTCATGCGCCGCCTTGCATACGCGTTAAGTACACGTCAGCTCCCCTTTTTGCATAGTTCTAACATGCCCCCTCACCCACC